TTTCAAGTTCTTAAAAATTTAACAAACTAAAATAGCAGGCAAAACACCCAAAAAACCAAAAAAAAAAACAAACATAAGCCTTCAATAAATGACTTAACTGTTTAAATGATGATCTTACGCTTCTTCTTGGATCCCCATGGTCAAAAAATACTGCATACTGGCTCTGAAACATTCAATAAAATTAATTTTTAACAACTTAAAAAGGGTACTGGGCTTTTAATTTTGTAGGTTAGCCTCTTATTATTCTGAAAATTGGAATATCAACTTCAAAACAGTACAGATAGTCTTAAAACAACTTAAAGGAATTGTAAAGAGGTTTTCTAAATTTTTTATGTGTATCAGGGACACTGATAGCATCAATTTACACCATTCCAATTTTCATTTTTGCATCCCATTTCACCACAAAAAAAATGATCAATTTGAATCTTATGAGCTTGGAACAGGTGTTTCTACAGGGAGGCCATTGCTCCCCCAGAATAGCTCTAGTTGTTCGGATGGGACAATAAACCGAGGGCTAGGCTACAGGCTAATGCTGGTGTCCTTGCAAACTTTGCCTCATTGCAAACTACCTGGCTTCAATAAGGTGGCAATTCTCCTGTCCTAACTGGCCCCCTCGCCTCCTGACTTTTAGAAACACAACTAAATCAAATATTGGCTTACCTTTCTTAAAATATCTTAACAATTTCCACTTTTATCAATCTCCAGTTCACCATTCTCATAACCATGATAAAATAATTGCCACCAGTTTCCATACTTATTATGAAAATAGTTATCATAACTCTCTCAGGACTAACATCTGTCAGACCACAACTAATTCCTCATCTAATCCAGCCTGGAGTAAGTCCAAATATCCATCTGCTATATTCTGCCCAACAATCTCATACAGGCACCATGCATGACAATCATTTTTGTTTTCTCCATTTTGTATGTGCTTCAGGGACACTGATAGCATCAATTTACACCATTCCAATTGTCAATCAGATGTCGGTGGTTCCTGCAATTCCATTAAATTGGTAGCTATGCGATCTTTTAAAGTTGAAAGACACATTAGCACAGTTCCAACATGTGTCTTAGAAGAGTAAGCACACCATGTGCAGCCGAAAACAAATTTAGAAAAAATAATTTTCTTTTAATGTGGAATGAATAATATTGAAACATGATGTTGAAAACCGCAATCTCAGAGTATGACCAGGTGGAGGGAGAACGTCAGCATTCGGTGCCAGAGATATTAGATTTACTGGCATCGATTCCTGGGAATGATTCTGTGTTACGAGTTACAGTGAAGCGAGATTTCTTCCTATTGAGGCCCTGAGATTCTGTCGGTGGTGAATCTATGATCACTTTGGGCAGATTTTGTCCATCACTATGGTCTATGCCTTCGTGTAAACTTTGAGCAGATCCGGAACGACTTGGTGGTTTTTGGGAAGGAATGTTCTGATCGTTGGTAGGAATGTGTCCTGGTTCTTCTTTAGGAGATTCGATGATTCCTTTGGGGACTGCCTCAGCAATATTGTCTAAATCGTTTTTAAATTGCTGTGCATTGGCCGGCACATTCGGTGTGGAATTTTCTACCAGGTCAGCATTGAAAGGACCATTCTCCGTCTGGGCAGTATTCTGAAGATGATGAGTTGAACCAGCTGTATTTGGAGGTCGAGATGGAACAGCCATATTTTGTAGGTTTGGCGGTAGAGGTGTGTTCGTTACGTTGGGAAGAGAACCTCGATGTTTGCGGAGATAACCATATGGAATGCTCTCGCTGTCAGAACGACCTTTCCACGGCTGCTTGGCATTGGTGGGAAACGCTTGCATGGAATATGGCTGAATCACATGGCTGTAAAAATATAAGAACACACATGAGACAACACTGGGTAAAAATCTCAAAAAATTTCAAATCCAAAATCCACAAAACGACAAAATCAAGGAAGGTTTCTAAATTTGTTTGTATCATTCCAATTTTCAATCAGACGTCTGTGGTTCCTGCAATTCCACTAAAACTAAGTGTTTGATGACATCACTAATCACAAAATATGCTTTAATACATAAGGACTTTGTGATTAGTGACATCATCAAACACTTAGTTTTAGTGGAATTGCAGGAATCACAGACGTTTGATTGAAAATTGTAATGATGTAAATTGATGCTATCAGTGTCCCTGATACACATAACAAATTTAGAAAACCTTTTTACAATCCCTTTAAATGAGTCTAATAGCCATCTTGGGTGACAAACTCAGGAGGTGGTTATCAGGACACAAATGGTTTGGAAATCGGTTCTCAAATTCTGTGAATTGGACTGCTGTGGTCCAGTGAGTTGATTGTTCCATCCTGTCTGCATTTCATTACATTATAAATAAAACAATACTTACATAATGTCACCTAGTTTCAGTTTCCGCTTGGGAGATGGGTTGGTGATAACGAATGATAGAGAATTTGGTCTTTTCTTCAATTCACCTTAAAGAGAAAAAACACCAAAATAAAATTGATTTTTGAAATTCCCTCATTGTACACTGCATGGCGTTTCTTGTCTTCATTGGCCCAAAAGGCACAAAAAAATTGAACAAAACACTCCAATTCATTTTATTTGAATATCCAAACTAATTCAGCCAAAATAAATTACGCTAGAGGCTATTTCCTAAGTAACTGAAAGCAATTTTTGTCAGAATAGCTGTTTATTATAACAGTTCAACTAATTCAGCCAAAATAAATTACGCTAGAGGCTATTTCTAAAAAACAGAAAAGCAATTTTTGTCAGAATAGCTGTTTATTAAAAACTGTTCAACTAATTCAGCCAAAATAAATTACGCTAGAGGCTATTTCCTAAGTAACTGAATGATATTTTTGTCAGAATAGCTGTTTATTATAACAGTTCAACTAATTCAGCCAAAATAAATAACGCTAGAGGCTATTTCCTAAGTAACTGAATGATATTTTTGTCAGAATAGCTGTTCATAAATACTTACAATAGTCATCATCTCGTAAATCCAAACTTTTTAATCTGTTTCGTATCAGGTCAGCCATATCCCAGTTATCTGTCGTCTGAAATCCCATAAATGGATTCCTTCCATGGAATGTCGTTTCTCTATTCAAGTTATGGGCAGTCTGTAAAATTCAATAGACATTAAAGGGATTGTAAAAAGGTTTTCTAAATTTTTTATGTGTATCAGGGACACTGATAGCATCAATTTACACCATTCCAATTTTTAATCAGACGTCTGTGGTTCCTGTAATTCCACTATCACAAAGGCCCGGGATATTTGGAAATATACCAGCCATTTTCCATTTCTAGCCTCCCAAATATTAGGACAAAGTTCAAAAATAAATTCAGGGTTCATTACCTTATGGTAGACATGTTTTTCTCCAGTTTCCACACGATCCAGGCCTTGCTTGTCAGTTCTATAAATAGCAATAGGAACTTCACCTGTGGCAGTACACAGTCCCTGGTAGAGATCACCATAAGTTGGGTACAGGTTTAATGTAGCTCTTTTTACCCGAATCTATAAAAGGAAGCGATTTTTTCAATTTTTTGGTCTATCACAAACTTAAAATTAAAATAAGACCAAACTTTCGTTCCGTATTTCTGAGGGAGCCGCAGTGGCTCAGTGAGTTAGACACTTGCTCGCTAACCTGAAGGCCCAGGGTTCAATCCCAGCATAGGTCGAGATAATACCTTCGGATTTTTCAACCCGGTTTCCCCCTGTCAGTGATGCAGGTAAGAGGGGCTGACATGGAAAAAGCGTCTAGTCGTTCAGATGGGACAATAAACCGAGGCCTCGTGTGCTACAGGCTGTGCACGTTAAAGATCCCTCGACAGTTGGAAATCGAAAAAGAGCAGGCTAATGCCGCTGTCCTGGCAAAATTTCCCTCATTGCACACTGCCTGTCTTCATTCATTTCATTTCATTTTTGACATATTTCTATTTTAAGCCAATTTTCTTTCTATTTATCAGGTTTTTTTTGATAGATGACGAAATTGGCCTTGACCCTGGTAAATTACAGCGTGAATAAGGTCCATACGGAGGTAAGAAGTTCCTACTTACACTTGATAAATGCCCCGAATTCTGTTCAGCATCAATACCTAATAATAATCTCACAAACGTAATTAAATAACCCTTTACAAATGTCTGAAATAGAAAGAACAACCAGGTGAATGAATTTTGCATTGAAATTAAGTTTTACGTGTAGGCCATTGGGCTAAGAACACTTCAACAAGTGGCGGAGCCAAAGGGGGGACAGAGGGGCCACCCCTCCTACCTCCCACCCCACCCTTGCAAGCCCCCGAAAGCAAGTTTTTTAAGCAAAAATCTCATAACTAGATTAAAGATTCAGGCAATCTCAGATATCTTCCCCCCCCTCTCGGACGTAAACCTGACCCTGCCACTGACTTTAACTGATGGTCTAAGGCAACAATCGTCTTCACAATGTCAAGCTATTACAAACTTCATACTTATACCTTGACTGCAAGAGCCACCTCCCTATCAGTGATGCATGGAAAAAGTGTTTAGTCGTTCAGATGGGACAATAAGCCGAGGCGCCGTGTGCTACAGGCTGTGCACGTAAAAGATCCCTCGACAGTTGGAAATCGGATGTGACTTACCTGATATAGAAGAGTATCTAACATACTGGCGCTGAAAACCTGGCCAGCAGCAAATGGAAGACGAAACATGTAACTGAGATTGGACGGTGTTTCTGTTTTTAATTTCTGAAATAAACAAAAGTTGATTTTTCTGAATTTGCTAGTTTGTACCGAAAATAAACCTCCCCTAAAATGGCTGATAAGAGAAAAGAAACCATATTTTACAAGGATAATAACTTAGGTTCACGAGGAAGCTTTCTACCAGCTGGTCCTTGGTATTGATCTATCCCAGATTATCCGTACCCATTTACAGCTGGGTTGACTGGAATAATGAGGAACCTTTCTACCAGCTGGTCCTTGATCAAACCTCTTGGTATTGATCTTTCACAGATTATCTGTACCCATTTACAGCTGGGTTGACTGGAATAATGAGGAAAGATGACTTATTCAAGGTCACCAGACTATCACATTCTGACCGAAATTAGAACCATTGACCACCATTTGTCTGACATCATACTAAATATTCCAACATTCTAACCAACCCGTCATTTATGAGGCAAATTTCGAAAGAAAAGCGCTAATAGTTCCAATATGATAAATTCCACTCACCTGTTCCAGTTGAGATATTTTCTGGGAATACTCATCCGATGCCTGGAACTGCATGAAACGTAAATTGGAAGCCTGACTGAGTTCTGTGATGATGTTGGCGTTGGGAAACAATCTAAAACAAAGGAAAAAAGTTTGAATTTATTCCTGCAAATTCCAGATTTTCAAAGACATTTTCAATGATGGAAAACGTATTTTCATGGAATTTTCTGATTCTCAAAGACTTTCAGCCAAGTTCCATGGTATCCAAGAAACAGTAAATCTGTTGATAAATATGAAATATCTGTTTCTTGCATCTTGGCCGTTTTGTTTGGTCAGGCATAAATTGATCTGGTTGTATCCCATGATATAAGACCATGCTTACTCTTTTCGAAACACCTGATAGTACTTCTCGCTTGAGGAGTCCACTACTATACAACTTTTACTTGCAATTTTGCCATACTTTGGACGAGATTTTGATTAACAGAACTGTCTTACTTATACAATTTTTTAATTCCTTTTTTGATTTGTGTTTTTCTTAAATTTCATCTTTGGTAAAATTACTTACCTGAATATGGTTTGAACAGCAACGATAGTTTCTGAGTCAGCAAGAGTTTCCTCCCCTTGTTTGTGAGCCTTATCTTTGTTGACGACAACCAGATGACTTGCCTTATTTATACCAGCTTTCAGTAGATCATCTACACTGTAAACAATATCATTGCATTTTTAAGGGATTGTAAAGAGGTTTTCTAAATTTTTCATGTGTATCAGGGACACTGATAGCATCAATTTACACCATTCTAATTTTCAATCAGACGTCTGTGGTTCCTACAATTCCTTTATGTGTATCAGGGACACTGATACCATCAATTTACACCATTTTAATTTTCAATCAGATGTCTGTGGTTCCTGCAATTCCTTTATGTGCATCAGGGACACTGATAGCATCAATTTACACCATTCTAATTTACAATCAGACGTCTGTGGTTCCTACAATTCCTTTATGTGTATCAGGGACACTGATAGCATCAATTTACACCATTCTAATTTTCAATCAGACGTCTGTGGTTCCTACAATTCCTTTATGTGTATCAGGGACACTGATAGCATCAATTTACACCATTTCAATTTTCAATCAGACGTCTGTGGTTCCTGCAATTCCTTTATGTGTATCAGGGACACTGATAGCATCAATTTGCACCATTCTAATTTTCAATCAGACGTCTGTGGTTCCTGCAATTCCTTTATGTGTATCAGGGGCACTGATAACAACAATTGAAACCATTCTAATTTTCAATCAGACGTCTGTGGTTCCTGCAATTCCTTTATGTGTATCAGGGACACTGATAGCATCAATTTACACCATTCCAATTTACAATCAGACGTCTGTGGTTCCTGCAATTCCTTTATGTGTATCAGGGACACTGATAGCATCAATTTACACCATTCTAATTTACAATCAGACGTCTGTGGTTCCTACAATTCCTTTATGTGTATCAGGGACACTGATAGCATCAATTTACACCATTTCAATTTTCAATCAGACGTCTGTGGTTCCTGCAATTCCACTAAAACCAAGCGGTTTATGACGGCACAATTAAAGAAGAGAAAACATTTGGAAGACTTACGAAGATATTTTGCCTTTCATCCAGTACACCAAAGGAAACTGCGAGATCGTTTCTAAAAATAACTTATCTGGTCTGAAAGAGAAGATTAACACCATACAGTATGCAATAAGGTAAACTATTGCTAGGACATCATGCACCAAATTTTTCACACAAAAAAATCAAACAACCAACTATGGCATTTCTCGCTTAAAAGAAATTTTGATCATAAAATTTTTTGAACAGTAATGGACCATCTCAAAAAATTTGTCCCTACCCCCAAAGCAACCAATTCCCCACCCCCCCAGAAAACTATAAATCATCAACTTACTGTTCCTCTATTAGTAGTATAATAGGACTTAGACAGTATTTACTAATGAAGTTTGACCGTAATGGTACTATAAAGTTGTAGATTCCATACGTGGCGTATTCCACAGACAATATAATAAGCTGTCTATTCCATCGTTCATCATTGGCGTTTTTATATTTACAGTGTTCGCAATGCTGAAATAGAAACATTGCATCCTGTTCAGTGAGTTCCCATACTTCACAATAATTTTCCTCCACTTTGAAAGCTGTCCTGATGAGGACTGTGTATTCAAAACACATGAAGATGAGCTCTAGTTAATATGGGAGGATTTACATGAAAGAATTTCATAATCTATCATGGAAATTGGTCCTTATTATTCCAGTCAACCAAGAGGTTTGGTCAGGGACCAACTGGTAGAAAGGATCCTCATTATTCCAGTCAACCCAGCTGTAAATGGGTACAGATAATCCAGGAAAGATCAATACCAAGAGGTTTGGTCAGTGACCAGCTGGTAGAAAGGATCCTCGTGAACCTAAGTTGTTATCCTTGTAAAATCAATGCCAAGAGATTTAATCAAGGACCAGCTGGTAGAAATGGTTCGTTTGTGACTGACAGACCTATCTGAAGCCGAGGTGTCTAAAAGACCTTACCTTGCCCCACTCCAGACAGCAGAAAGACCGTGGTATCTTCATGATATGACAGTTAGTTCTATGGGAACCCAAGTACATAGTGATAGGTGGAGGACCAGTCATTATCCTGAAAAAAATAAACCAAATACTAACAATCCGAACAGCAAAACGAAACTGGAAATCCAAAACAACATATTGGTGAAACATTGGTAGCAGCTCATGAACTTTTTATATGAGGAAGTATATCAATCAATTATAAGTGAGTAAGTATTTCATAATGAAAAGTGGTATCAGGTGTCTAGAAGAGTAAGCATACCCTGCCTGACGAGACACCTGTCATAGCTGCTTAACATACTTTTAAGGTGAACATATTTGAATTTTGTTTCTCAGATTTTTTCATCTTCATTGTAATCTAACAAATTTTCTACTGCAGTAATGTTCTAAAGATTTTATTTCTAAGACCTGTTTCTTAATATTTTTGTCTCTATTGCAAATTTGTAGTACATTCCTGTTCAAATGACGTAATTTCTAACCAATCAAAGCATGGCATGTAGAACCTATTTCTTAATAACGAAGTACCTAAACCGCAGAGGCTGTAATTTTGCTCTACTTTTGGGTTCAACTATCCCATTTTTTTCATCACAAAATAAATTCCCCCCTCTCCCCTACCAAGAAGAACGAAAAAAATTCTTACATTTCTTGGCCCATGTCATTATAGAACTGTAAGATATTTCCAGTGCCGTTTCGATGACTTAAACCATCGGCTTCCCTTCCCATAATTCCACTGTTGGACGGGAGGTTTTCTGTCGGAGAAGGTGTATCATCTCTATAAGTAGTGTCGTTATCATTGTCGTCCGTTTTTTTCGAGCCATGGAGGACCTTAGTGATCTCCTGACCCACCATGGAGGTGATGGTATCGAACACACTCTCTCCTTCATCTCCTTCATCTTCCGATTCATTCTGGTATTTCTGGAGCACCAGGGCGATTTGTTCTGGAATAAGGAATGGAAATGGAGTTTTACACCCTATTTTTTGGCACATTGACAACAGACAGATAATGCCATGCTTCAGTAATTTTTTTTTCTAGATTATGAAATGAAATCGAAGAAAATTTCAGTGAGTTTTAAGTCCTTTGTTTCTGTTTCAATTCCCCACAAATATTCTAGATTTATTAGAAAATATTTCTTGAAAATATTCTAGATTTATTAGAAAATATTTCTTGAAAATATTCTAGATTTATTAGAAAATATTTCTTGAAAATATTCTAGATTTATTAGAAAATATTTTTTGAAAATATTCTAGATTTATTAGAAAATATTTCTTGAAAATATTCTAGATTTATTAGAAAAAATTTCTTGAAAATATTCTAGATTTATTAGAAAATATTTCTTGAAAATATTCTAGATTTATTAGAAAATATTTCTTGAAAATATTCTAGATTTATTAGAAAATATTTCTTGAAAATGTTCTAGATTTATTAGAAAAAATACTCCTATAAAATATTCCAGATATTTTCATTCTAGATTTATTAGAAACACGTCTAAAGTAATTCTAGATTTATTAGAAACACTTCTAGCAACAATTCTAGATTAATTAGCAAAACTCCTAGAAAAAATTCTAGATTAATTAGCAAAACTCCTAGAAATCATTCTAGATTAATTAGCAAAACTCCTAGAAATCATTCTAGATTAATTAGCAAAACTCCTAGAAATCATTCTAGATTAATTAGCAAAACTCCTAGAAATCATTCTAGATTAATTAGCAACACTCCTAGAAAATATTCTAGATTAATTAGAAAATTCTCTAGAAAAACATCTACATTTATTAGAAACTTCAAGAAAAATTCTAGATTTTAGGAGACACACCTACAAAATATTCTAGATTTATTAGCAGCACTCCTAGAAATCATTCTAGATTAATTAGCAAAACTCCTAGAAATCATTCTAGATTAATTAGCAAAACTCCTAGAAATGATTCTAGATTAATTAAAAAATTTCTCTAGAAAAACATCTACATTTATTGGAAACTTCAAGAAAAATTCTAGATTTTAGGAAACACACCTGAAAAATATTCTAGATTCATTAGAAACACTCCTAGAAATCATTCTAGATTAATTAGCAAAACTCCTAGAAATCATTCTAGATTAATTAGCAAAACTCCTAGAAATCATTCTAGATTAATTAGAAAATTCTCTAGAAAAACATCTACATTTATTGGAAACTTCAAGAAAAATTCTAGATTTTAGGAAACACACCTGGAAAATATTCTAGATTCATTAGAAACACTTGTAGAAAAATTCTAGATTTATTAGAAAAAAGTATCATACAAAAAAAGCCTAGAAAATATTCTAGAAATTTTATCAAAACTTTCTAGAATTCCAGATTTATTAAAAGCACTCAAAAATCTAGACAAACTATAATTTAAAATTCTGAAGAATAAAAATCTAGGCCTATTAAAAATTCTAAATAATAAAAATCTAGACCTATTAAAAATTCTAGATTTAAATGAAAATTCTAGATTATTAAAAGCACTCAAAATTCTAGATAAAAAACATAGAGAAATATGTGGTGGTGTTAGTGGTTATTTTTCTATCTCTCTCTCTGTCTCTCTTACCAGAAGTTTTGTTTCTCTTGAGTAAATGGTTGAGCTCATGGGCTACCTCGGCTAAACACAATACATAATTATAGATATATTGGCCTACAGATAACCCATCAAGATAACCATTAAATGTGATCAGGATTACCCAAAAAGATAACCCATCAAGATAACCATTAAATGTTACCAAGATAACCAATTAAGATAACCATTAAATGTTACCAAGATAACCAATTAAGATAACCCATTAAGATGACCATTAAATCTGACCAGGATAACACAAAAAGATAAGCCATCAAGATAACCATTAAATGTTACCAAGATAACCCATCAAGATAACCCATTAAGATGACCATTAAATCTGACCAGGATAACACAAAAAGATAACCCATCAAGATAACCATTAAATGTTACCAAGATAACCAATTAAGATAACCATTAAATGTTACCAAGCTAACCATTAAATACCATCATAACCCATCAAGATATCCATTTAATTTCACCAAGATAACCATCAAGATAACCCATCATAATAAGTTAGTCGCTTACCTAAAGTTTTGGATTGTTTGGCTGATTTGTCAACATCATCTCGAAGAGCTTCAGGACTGATCTGAGAGTATTCTTCTTTAGTAACTGACATATAAAAACAGTAATCAGTGGGTTTCATAGTGTAGGTGGGCCCAGGATTCAGCTGTAGGCGTGGTTCAGAGGTCTGGGTATCTAAGATGGCTAGCAATGCTACACCAAATCTGAAATTATATAACATCCTTTGAGTTGTTACTTAGGTCTAATGGTGGTCGTGGATTACAATCTGCATCGACATGTGAAAGGTCTTGAATAAGTCATCTTTCCTTATTATTCCAGTCAACCCAGCTGTAAATGGGTACAGATAATCCAGGAAAGATCAATACCAAGAGGTTTGACCAAGTACCAGCTGGTAGAAAGGATCCTCATTATTCCAGTCAACCCAGCTGTAAATGGGTACAGATAATCCACAAAAGATCAATACCAAGAGGTTTAGTCAAGGACCAGCTGGTAGAAAGGATCCTCATTATTCCAGTCAACCCAGCTGTAAATGGGTACAGATAATCCACGAAAGATCAATACCAAGAGGTTTGACCAAGGACCAGCTGGTAGAAAGGATCCTCATTATTCCAGTCAACCCAGCTGTAAATGGGTACAGATAATCCACGAAAGATCAATACCAAGAGGTTTGTCAAGGACCAGCTGGTAGAAAGGATCCTCATTATTCCAGTCAACCCAGCTGTAAATGGGTACAGATAATCCAGGAAAGATCAATACCAAGAGGTTTGACCAAGGACCAGCTGGTAGAAAGGATCCTCGTGAACCCAGTATAACTGGTTGTTTCTTCTATTTTTAGATACTAACCTCTGATGAGCATCTGCAGATGCTTCAGTGAATTTCTTGCCTTCGTATCGACTGAAGAAGGAGCTTTTGGCCAGTTGAATGTGGTAGATCTCATTGCCAGAGTGACGACCGTAAAGTTGCTGCCATTGTTCATTGGCCAGTTCTGCCTCTCTACAAAACAATTTATAAAAACTGTATCCTTCAATTCCATGAGAGACACAGTCCAGTTGTAAATTGAATTTGATCGTTCAAGACCAAAGTTAAACACACGCCATCGCAAAAGCTGTTAATATTATCTAAGGTCCTTTGTGATTAGTGACGTCATCAAACACTTAGTTTTAGTGGAATTGCAGGAACCACAGATGTCTGATTGAAAATTGGAATGATGTAAATTGATGCTATCAGTGTCCCTGATACACATAAAAAAATTTGAAAACCTTTTTACAACAGATATGGAGCTCCGCGTGATTTCAAAGTATTTCATAGTGAAAGAGCTAACAGTTTAAAGCTGAAAGGAGACTTACTGTCCGTCTGATGTATGAACCAGTAATGATACCAAGGTAGATAACCCTGGATACAGGCAATTATTGGCTAATAGTGCAAACTTAAATTCATCTTCACATACTATATGTTCTGAAAATAGACAGATTGATTGAATGAATGAATGAATGATGAATGAATGAATGAATGAATAAATGAATGAATAAATGAATGAATAAATGAATGATTGAATGAATGAATAAATGAATGAATGAATGAATGAATGAATGAATGAATATTGGATATATGTTTGAATGAATGAAAGTTGAAGAATGAATGAATGAATGAATGAATGTCATGATACTCAAAAGAAGAATCAGATAGATGGATGGATGTAGAACGAATGCATGGATGAATGTTGGATATAAGTTTGAATGAATGAAAGTTGATGAATGAATGAATGAATGAATGAATGAATGAATGAATGAATGAATGAATGAATGTTTGTAAAAATAACATACCTGCAAACTTGACATGCATTTTATTCTGGGCTTTGAACAACTGGATATACTGTTTACAATTGGGAGCAAAATCCTTTACAGCCCAAGATCTCAAGATGGTGTGTTGATCCTAGAAAAAAAACAAAAAGGGCAGTCAGCAAGGGGAGATCGCCAGAGGGAAATAGCACAAAGGAATCCACTCAAATTGACCTGTTGTATTTCCTGGTGTGGGAAATTTGGGTCCATCTGAAGCAAATGAAATTTTATAATAAACTTACCGCACTGGCTTTGTCAGCTACAGAATGTGGCGCCAGAATAAAACAGGCGTCGGCATCATTGATCCTGAAATGAACCAAAGAATTGTAGATAGTCAACCCAGCTGTAAAAGGGTACAGATAATCCAGGAAAGATCAATGCTAAGAGGTTTGATCAAGGACCAGCTGGTAGAAAGGATCCTCATAATTCCAGTCAACCCAGCTGTAAATGGGTACAGATAATCTGGGAAAGATCAATACCAAGAGGTTTGGTCAAGGATCAGCTGGTAGAAAGGATCCTTGTGAACCTAAGTTGTTATCCTTGTAAATTCAATACCAAGAGGTTTGACCAAAGATCAGCTGGTAGAAAGGATCCTCATGAACCTAAGTTGTAATCCTTTCAAAAAATGGTACCAATGAATTAAATCACTGCATAGAATATCCTAGAAATCCTAAACTCACCGACATCTTCGTAGATCCAGGTCTTTCAATGAAGATCCTCTCATATATATAACACGATGAGTCCATTTGGGATCTTTCAGGATGAAATGCATGCTGTTGTTCAGCTCACAGGAGCTTAGCAAGATTACCATGTGGTCCTTAAAACAAATAGAGTAAAAATATACCACATCTTCCACTACAGATGGTCTACCATGAAATTTCCCACAAGAGCTTTGCAACATGTGACGTAGCCCCAAAAATTTGGCCCTATCCTTTTTGCGGGTGTAATATACGGATTGGATATCAGCACATTTTTTAGCGTCAAATTAAGCAAACTATTTGATTAATTGGTGTTTCTCATGAATTATCATGTATTCTTAATCATATCATTATGTTCTTATTGCATATAATTAAGAGTTTTAACCAATCATAAATGTCCATGTATGTACAGTCTGGATAAACAAAAAAAAAGACTTTTTGACCTTTCTTGATCGGTTACTCATTGGAATTCTGCTGGTAATTCTCTTCTAATTTAGCTAATTATGAATTAATTTTGGACATGTGAGATAAACTGGTATTTTTCCAAGTCATTAGAACACCTCTTCTTTCTATTCATATAAGTATTAGCATTTTCATTTTCATAAATGAAAATAAGGGAACCCATCTTTAAGGAGATAATCTGACACAGTTGGTGGCTAGTTTTTGAGAATGCTCACCATGTTAAAAGCCAAATTAGCAGAACCATTAATGAGTCCATCAATACAATACCAGATATTCTACAATGTCCCTGTGCCCCACACAGTACCAAAATACAGCAAAGATTTCAGAATTCCGCTTTAATCCCAGCAAAAATATTGCTTAGTGCTTACCTCTAGCTTAGGATGAGCATAAAATTCGCTTAAGAAGTCCATGACAGCATCAGTTGATAATTCAGTAGAGCAGACGACAACGTGTTTATTTCTGGCTGCTGAGTTTTTACTGTATTCTCCACCAGCTTTCGAACGCTCTATCCATGTTGATGCTATAATCTCCAACTACAATTAACAGAGTATTAATTAGGTGGAAGTAAGGGAGGGATGCCATGCAGTGGGCAATGAGGGATAAACAGCACTTTATCTTTTATACAAATAGTTCTTAGCCTGTATGCTTGACAATTTAAATATTATATAGTTGGTTTTTTTCTTTTCTTAAATCAATACTTAAATCAAGATATCAATCAAATACTATTGGCAATCAAATTCAATCAAGATCAATCAAGATCAAATGCAATCAAAATCAATCAAATAGCATCAAATTCAAACAAGATCGATCAAGATCAATCAAATTCTAACAAGATAAATCAAACTCAATCAAGATCAGTCAAATTTACCCAAATTCAATCAAGATCAATCAAACAAAATCAATAAGATTCTATCAAATTCTATCAAGATCACACAAATTCAATCAAGATAAAATGAAATTAAATCAAAAGATAAATCAAATCCAAGCAAGATCCAACAAGCCCTGTCAAGATCACACAAATTCAATCAAGATAAAATGAAATTAAATCAAAAGATAAATCAAATCCAACCAAGATCCAACAAGCCCTGTCAAGATGACCCTAATTCAATCAAGGTTATCAATCAAAATCCACAATCAAATAAAATCAAAATAAACCCGTTTCAACTAAATTCAATCAAAAATCAATCAAGAAAACGAACTTACCTGTCTGGGAACGAAGACCAAGGCCACACAGATCATAACGATCATAAACATTTGTCCAAACCAGATATCTGGTGAGATGTCACCGTAACCAACGGTGGAGAACGTCACAATAACAAAATAGAAGGACTCAAACATCGTGAGCTGAGTGTCTCTACTTCCTCTTTGTATATGTTGAATACCACAAATTCTGAAATTATCAAAAACGAAATGAAATGGAGTTTTACACCCTACTTTTCTGCATCTTTTTTGACTAATGAGGGTGGGCAATGGGGAAAATTTGTTCAGAATAGTGACAATATAGCAAAATTCACATATTTGCAGCTAAAAGCTGTGATATTTTCATTTATAGTGATTTTTCAACCAAATAAAGTGCATTTCCAAAGTTTTTTAACTATTGAAATCTCTAGACTGTATCAATATGCACAAAAAACAAATGTATGCAGTGTGCAATAAGGAAAATTCTCACTTTATTGTCACACTAAAACAATAAGACTCTTTTTCAATGCCAGTTCCTCTGTCTTTCATCACTGACAGGGGAAACAGGGTTGAAAATTTGTACTCTTATTGAACCCAAGACTTCAATCCTAACAAGCATATGACTACTCAATCTCCATAAGAGTGGTATGAGGTGTTCCATAACTTACGTAGTAAAAACCAGACAGAAGACACTGGCTATCAGCAGTAAAATTTGTTGTGATAACGTCACCGACATAGTTTGGAATCTTTGACGAGTTAAATGAAGGTCATTCTGAAAACAGAAATATAATACCAAAACTTTGATTGTAAACTCAGAATTTTTGATTCCAACTGTCGAGGGATCTTTAACGTGCAGCCTGTAGCACATGAGGCCTCGGTTTATTGTCCCATCCAAACGACTAGACGCTTTTTCCATGTCAGCCTCTCATACCTACATCACTGACAGGGGGAAACTGGGTTGAAAACTCTGAAGGTATTATCTCGACCTATGCCAGGATTAAACCCTGGACCTTCAGGTTAG